ACTTAGTAGGCGCTAGAAATCACTAACTTATCTTTATAGTAGATAGGATAATATAGTTATACTCTATTATCGACTCCTAATTCGGTTAGTTAAGCGGTAGTAAGTTAGCGTTAGATATTTTTATTTAGTGATTGAAGGAGTGTATTTTCAGTATCCCGCCGCGAAATATTAAGTTAATATCTAACTACTAATAAGATAAAAGTAGCTATAGGCTTTAGGTAGTTAAGAACGCTCTTATAGTTATTAACGCTGACATCTATAAGAAGGTACGTTTATAGGCTGCGTTATCTATCGTTTAGGTTAATATTGAAGATCGCTTCCTAATCTCTTTAAAGATCTACTAGATAGTTAAGCGCTACCTAAGGTAAAGTAGGTAGGCGTTAGCTCTTACGAATATAAGCTTAAAGGAATTAGATTCGAGATAGCTAAATAATTTTATAGAGGCTTTAAAGGGTATAAAGAAGAATTAATAATTCTAAGAGAGCTAGTAAAGCTAGTTAGGAGACTTAAGTGAGGTCGTTAAGAAAGCGAGCGATAATAAGAGAGATATAATAGGAAAGGTTTAGAGAGGACCTAAGATATAAGGTAGGTAAGTAAGGTGATTAGTTAACTTTTAGCTATACATTATATAGGTAAACGTTACTACTCTCTAATTAGTTAGTTTAAGGGTACTACTTTAGCTTAGTAGTCTTTTCTTTTATTATTCGCCTAGGTAGATAGAGAAATAATAAGATAATCAATCAACTACTTGATAAGATGTGAATGCGCCTGTTACCTACCGCCGTATGAGTTAGCGCCTATGGCTAGAAGCCTCGCCCCAGTTTATTATAGATTAACAATAAAGAGTACTAATCCTTCCTTATAATCTTATTTAATCTATAGTAGTCTATATAGAATTATAGTCCTCTCCCTAGCTTCCATACGAAGAGGACTAACGCTACCGCTAGTGAGTTACTTACCTAGATAAACCCCTTATTAAGTAGCTCTATAAGTATCTTCTATAGAATAAGTAGTTCTTCTCTTAATATACTATATAGTGAGCCCTAAGGTACCTTAGGGGTCCTCCTATCGTCCTATATAAGGTCTATTATATAGTCTACCCTCTTCTCTTAGAGCGGTAGTAGTTTATCCGCTATCGTCCTATTAAATACGTTAAGGAAGGGGTATAGGTATTCTAGTAGCTTTATACGGGGGTCTATTATCTTTTTAACTATTAGGGCTTTATCGATATTAACTAGACTAATAGTGAATACTTATATACTCTTCTACTTATATTATTATTATATAAGTAGAGAGAAAGCTACTACGTTTATAAGGCTATAGTTAACCTTTAGGGGGATTATCTTTAATTCGTTTTATATGCGTATCCTCTATAGTCCTAGGTATAGATAGAACTCCTTTAGATAAAGTTATATATTATTCTATTTTATCTAAGGAAGTCTTAGTATAATATTATATAAGACTAAGCTTAGGATAAAATATAGAAAGGTAGTTTCCTTATATCTATTAATATCGATCTCTAATTTAGTCACTTCTAAGATTAATAAGTTTATTAATTTATTAAATCCTATAATAAGTTAAGAAGGAATCTATATACGCTAAAGATTTTATTGAGAAGTAAAATAAGCGTTAATAAGGTTATATAATGAATACCTAGAATCCATAAGTATAGATATAGAATACTCCTTATTTACTATTATAGGTACTAAGAAAGATAACTTATCTATTAAATCTTAAAACCCTTATTAGGAGCTACTCGTTTTTTAGATCCTCTTTATCCTCTTCTTCTATAGTTATAGCCGTAGCTACTATACGTCCTACTTAAGGACGTATTATTAGGAGTAGGGAGTATTAGCGTATAAAGTATTCTCCTAATCTATATTGAAGATAGTATCTTACTTCCTTTCACTTATCTAATATTTCCTTAGATACCTATTAAGCGCGCTATATACGTACGATATACGTACGATAGTCGTAGTAGTAGTGTCTAATAGCTCCTACTCTATTATATCTTCTACTAGAGTAACCTTAATTGGTACTAATAAGCTCTTTATCGTATAGGGCTTATCCCGTCCCTTCTTATATTAGAGGTTCTCTAGGTTAGTACTAATAGTATAAAGTAATATATAGTACTCCTTATAGGACTTAGGGATAGAGATTACTATAATCGTATTCTATAGCTCGTATAATAGATAGTTAGCTAGGAAGGTCTTCTTAACCTAGTTATCCTAACTAAGACCGCTAGCGTCTAGTATTATACGGTTAAATTCAGCGAGGAACGTACTAAATGTCTTTATCCCTTACCGTATAAAGCTAAGCTTCTAAGATACTCACTTAGTAGCTTTATAGTCTTTATATACTACCTATAGTTACGTAAAAAGACCTTAAATCATTATTTAGTCTATTAAAGTAACTATATCTATCTAGGCGCTAACTTACGTAAGAGCTTCTCCTTATAGTCTACTATATATATACTAAAATTATATAATTTCGGTATCCTTATCCTTATTAATACTAAGCTTTATCTTTATCTATATAAGCTATAGTTGAAATTCTATCCGCTTTCCACTAAACTTAGAGAGTTTAGGGAGTTTCCGATATTTCTAATCTAATAATTTATATATAGCTATTAGTTCCCGTATATTATTATTCTCCTATAATATTAACTTAGGAGTAGAGGTACTCCTACTATTCTACTAGTTCTAGAGTAGCTACTCTAGACCTTCTATTTACTAGTTCTATATCTAAATTATCTAATATAACTACGCTACTTACTCTAGGGGTGGAGTTAGACCTAATATAGATAATAAATCTATTTCTATTATCAATACGTATAGGGGAGGTACGAGAAATAGGAGATTTATCCTAATATAAGGGTTTAGAAAGAGTTCTATAACTAGCTAGCTAATCTAGTAATAAGGAGGATAAATCTAAGGAGAGAGAAGGAAGGAATAGCTATCCTTCCTTTCTTATGATGGGTTGAACCTAGGAGAAGGCTCAGTTCTGGCGAACTAGCGCTAAGACTAACACTAGGAAATACTACCTCCTAATTAGTCAAGATTTACCTATATAATATATAGGCGAAATACTACCTCCTAATTATTTAAGACGCATACGGTATAAGAGATATAAAGTCCTAATAGTTAAGACATCGTATATAAGGGAAGGTAAGGAGTTAGAATAAGTATATAAGGGAAGGTAAGGAGCTAAAATAAGTACGTAAGGAAAGGAGTAAGAAGGTGAGGATAATAGTTACCTCCTTACAGCGCATTAGAGGATATAAGGAGAAAGGAAGGATAGCTATCCCTTCCTTCTCTCTCCTTAGATTTATCCTCCTTATTATTAGGTTAACTAACTAGTTATAGAACTCTTTCTAAACCCTTATATTAGGATAAATCTCCTATTTCTCGTACCTCCCCTATATATATTAATAATAGAAATAGATTCATCGTCTATATTAGGTCTAACTCTACCCCTAGAGTAAGTAGCGTAGTTATATTAGATAGTTTAGATATAGAACTAGTAAATAGAAGGTCTAGAGTAGCTACTCTAGAACTAGTAAAATAGTGAGAGTATCTCTACTCCTAAGTTAATATTATAGGAGAATAGTAATATATAGGAACTAATAGTCGTACGTAAATTATTAAATTAGAAATATTAGAAACTCCCTAAACTCCCTAAGTTTAGCGGAAAACGGATAGAATTTCGACTATAGCTTACGTAGATAAAGGCGAAGCTTAGTATTAATAAGGATAAGGATATCGAGATTATACGATTTTAGTATATATATAGTAGACTATAAGGAGAAGCCCTTATGTAAGTTAGCGCCTAAGTAGACGTAGTTACTTTAATAGACTAGATAACGGTTTAAGGTCTTTTTACGTAACTATAGGTAGCGTATAAAGACTATAAAGTTACTAAGCGAGTATCTTAGAAACTTAGCTTTATGCGGTAAGGGATAAAGATATTTAGTACGTTCCTCGCTGAATTTAACCGTATAATACTAGACGCTAATAGTCTTAGTTAGGATAACTAGGTTAAGAAGACCTTCCTAGCTAACTATCTATTATATAAGCTATAGAATATAATTATAGTAATCTCTATCCTTAGGTCCTATAAGGAGTACTATATATTACTTTATACTATTAGTACTAACCTAGAGAACCTCTAACGAAAGAAGGAACGGGATAAGCCCTATATAATAAAGGGCTTATTAACGCTAATTAAGGTTACTCTAGCGGAAGATATAATGAAGTAGGAGCTGTCGGACGCTATTACTATAGCTATTATATATATATAGCGTACTTAATAGATATCTAAGGAAATATTAGATAAGCGAAAGGAAGTAGGACGCTATCTTTAATACGGATTAGGAGAACACTTTATATACTAATACTCTCTACTCCTAGTAATACGTCCTTAAGTAGGATATATAGTAGCTATAACTACTAGAATGTAGTTGGTAGTGTAAAGGGCCTCACTTTTTGGGCGATGTCGATGCTGCTTTTGCGAGTCCCCTACACCTGTGGCTGAACTCCCTCAGCCACCTTCCCTTCCAAGCCCCACCCCTTCCGTTCAGCCTAAGGGTCCAGAGTCTCGTTTGCTCACCCTGGACCCGCATCAGCATTTCCTACGCTTCGCACTTGAGGTTTCCCTTTCCTTGTCAGTAACAATCCCTTTGACGGTCAATCGTTGTCAGTGCCTCCACCTTCGTGTCAGATGGTGCCGCCGGACAGAATTCAGGGATCCGCCAGCACGCGTCCCATCATGGACTCGCCGGTCGTGACTGTCCTCCCGCGCAATGCAGCCCTTCACCTTTGTTCGCTGGCTTATATCTACTCCTCGTCTCCCGCGCATCTTCGACACAACCGACTCTCACTCTCAACTTCCCGCTCAGCTAGCACAGGGAATCGACCAGTCAGGGTATTCGGCTATAGAGATACCCTCACCCGAGCGCACACCTGGCTAGCACGAGGCGCTACCATCCTCGCTCCTTCGCTATGGCTTCCACTTCCACGATGAAGTGTGTGTCCGACTTTGACGAAACCTACAGCGAGCCAGAAAGCTCTACAGACGTCGAATCGTTATTCAGTGAGGACCCCGCCGAGGACTCAGCTTCTGAGGTCGATTCGCTCTTCGAGGAGGATCGGAGCTCTCAGTCAGAGGACGACAATCTTCTCGCGAGGATCGCATTTCACAGATCTGAAGGTCGGTCTCGACCGCGGCGAAAGCCATGGTCTCAGTCGCTGGTGGAACGAGAATTCGACTTCTGGCGGTGGTACGTCTTTGGAAACTCCCTCAAACTAGCAGACTGCACTCCTCCTATTGATTCTGCCTCCAATGCTAACCCTATTGTGCGCTGTAGCTTCTGCGAGAAAGTCGAACGCGAGCCCGTCGAGTGCCTTGAGGCCTGCGAGGCCGAGATAATCAAAGCCTATCTGGAATGGCGCGTGAAGAATTTCCGGGTGAAAAAGGAGAGTACGATCAAGAGTTATTGGAAGCGGCTGAGCTGTGCATATATTGATACAGCCGGCCGTAGAATGGACAATGGCACAGAACTGGACATTCGAGATGTACGCTACTGCAACTTCCGATGGGCAGTGAGTAACTATCGGCTGACAAGAGCTCCTAGTGGATTCCTACATACTTGACACCGACATATGGATTGGAGACGTCCGAGAAGGAGAAGCGAGCCATGTTCGTCCAGGAATTCTACGTGTTCGAGTATGCCCACTGGGTCGAAGACAGACGGCCTCTCCATGGTCTGATACGTGTGGAGATCTGGACGCTACAGCTCCTCAGCGGGGCCACCGCAAGTCGTCCAGGAGCCCTGGTGGAGAGTGGCAGTGCGAAAGGCACAAATAAAGCGGTGTGGTTCGAGCATATTGAGATCCTCAAGATCCGACACCCCGAAGATCCGAGTCATACGGTGTGGGCCGCGAAGGTAAACCTAGTCCATATCAAGGATTCTGGTGGACAAGGGAGACGGTGCGTTCCCGAAGATTTACTTTATCTTTCCTTTGCGGCCCGCTGCCTCACCTCACTCTTCTAACTGACTTGGGGAAGATAGGAAGAAGTTCGTCTTCTACGAGGAGCCGACGTACGCGTTCTGTCTGGTCTACGCGCTCATCGCAATAGCCTTGGCCCTCAACGCTTTCAGGAGACCCTTCAAGTCAATACAGGAACTCTTGAGCCTGGAGGTGCCTCCTAGCCGTCACGTGCTCTGCTTGAAGTTCAAGCGCGAGATTCTCAAAAAGCCCTTTTTTCGAGACGTCGAGTGGACGGACGTAGGTTATCGTATTTCTGACAACAAGGCTCTCCCGTATCATAAGTATCGCGACCACCACGTCCATCTCTGCCGTTTGGTCGGGAAGGAAGAGCAAGGTGAACTTTACGATTTACGTCGCGGTTCGGGGCGGAACATACACAGTGAGTTTCTAGCACACCTGTTTTTCCGATGCTCAGTTCGATCCTTGATTGCTCACTCTACACCCTCCTATCTAGGTGCCCTAATCCCCGAAGAGGCAGATCAAGTTATGGGTCACCACGGCGACACATACCGACGATTCTATCTTCCTGACCTCATCGAGCGCGACTTCTCGTCGATCTACTTTGGCACGCCGCCACAGGACAAACTCGTACACGCCATAGCGCGTATGGGCCTCACTTGGGACAAGCGGGCGCCGACGGATTTAACGCTACAGCAAAAACAGGAGGTGCGTAATGATCCGAGGCTGGTCCGACTCCGCCGCCGGCGCGACCGGTACCGACGGAGGCTCACTGCCCTCGGTTTCCATCCCCTTCAAACGGCCGCTGGCCATCCTGACCATGTTCGGTATAAAGCGGTGGAACGGCGGATCAACAGCACGACAATCACCTTGAAGAAGAAACGCCTCGACGAGGAGGTCCGCCTTTTTCACGATACTATCGACGATCTCGAGATCGAACGGCAGTTGGACGGACGACCAGTGGCCGAGCCGTACATACCGCGCATCAGGGAATTCGAGTCGCCCGAGCGAGCCCTCGTGGCCAAATTCATTTCTCTATCTCTCGATGACTCGGCTGCCGACGGCGAGGCCTTGGGCGGCAAGGCCGCCTTCATCGACGCCCTGGTCAAGCTCTGCCACCAGCAGGAGGGTCGGCGGTATCTCGGAGAGCATGACCACCAAATGGATCCCATAGATCTGGACAGATGGGCACCCACGAGGACTGCCTTAGCGGTGCAGTCGAAGCGCCCGCAGGTTCGACTCGGTTATACCCAGGGAGAGTCAGGAGCGGTAGAGCAGCATAAGGGGTCTATCGGCCCTATAGCTGCTGGAGGCGCACAAGTCTTCCAGGATCACGTCTGCCTCCTCTGTGGGAAGGTGTTCGAGCGAAAGTTCACACTCAACCGGCATCTCGACATTCACGTCAAGGCAGGCCGCTTTGCTGCACCATTTCAGTGTCGATTGGTGGGCTGCACGAAGTGGTTGAAGGGTGAGACGCACTACAAGAATCATTGCGCGACTGTACACCACGTTTTCCATTGAGTCGTTCCATTCTTCGGCATCATGCGACGAGATAAACGCATTGCAATACCGGAGTTCCTGGCTCCTAGACGTCTTGGACGACGTTGTTACCTGAAGGTTCCATCACCGGGGTTCGCACTTTCAAAGGTCGTGTGCGATATCTCTGGGCGGGAGTTTGCCAGTGGACTTTCATACGTTAATGTTTCTCGAGTGTCTAAGTTGAATGGGCTGATATCTGATGTGGCCTTTGATCGAGGTCGTGTGAATCGTCATTCGCCAACTAAAGCCATGGAGGCAAAGCTGAGAGACTATGAGCGTCGGAGAGGGAATCGATTAATCGAGCCATTGTACAGACCAATGCATGATATTGATAGCGATTAAGTGAGTGGGATCCCTCATTCAAGACATTGTCACTGCCAAAGTTAATGGTCTCTCGCTCATAACTTACTCACGGTTAATTAACGAACTCTCTTCAATGGCTTCACTACTCGACCATCACTCGCGTTTTAGAGTCGCTCTAGAAGAAGAGAATGACGAATGATTAACGGACTCTCTTTGATCGCTTCACCGTTTCGCTGTCATCTATGTTTCAGAGTCTCCTCAGGAAGAGAACAGTGAATGACCGGAGACAGCAATAGCATGTGATCGCCGCCACCACCAGAGTATATATACCTCGTCCTCTTTCCTTAGTCAACGCCTCTTCTTCTTCTTTGCTAGATACCAACAACTCCCTTCAATCAGCGTGGCATTAGCCATTCAAATATTCAGCTTTACACTCAATTGATAACAAGATACATTGATCATCATGTCTCGATCTCCAGCAAAAAGATCTGTGACCGTTATCAGCGACGACGACGACGATGCGCCAATCCCCTCCGTCGAGACCGCCAATCAGGTGGCGCAGCCATCACGAATTCCAGACATCGGGTATCCAAATCCACGAATCTTTCAGCCAGGCGAGGAGAACGAAGCTTACCTGACGCTCTCCATCGAGTATGTGGTCAAAGATCACAAGAAGGAGCGTTCAATGACCATGGAAGCTGGAAGGGATAAGCCAATTCTCCATGTCCTCAATGGCTGGGCCGATGCGGTGAACATGAAATATCCCACCGTCAACCTTCGCGACTATCAGTACAGCATCTTCCCACACGATCGCAGAAGTGGTGGTCGTATTGTTCTCCCCAATCAGATCTTTCTAGGCCTGCGCACACTACGAGACCTTCACGTCCACAACAACAACATCCTTCAGATTCTTCCTGATTCCACTACCGAGAATGAGAATGAGTATATCCCTCAGAACGATCCTCTAGCGCAGGAGGAGGCGAAGGGTGTTAAGAGGAGTGATAGTGAGATCACACGACGCCAGACCCGTTCTATGGGTCCAGCTTATTGAGAGAGGGCGAGAGGGAAGAGAGTGGCGGGGTGCGGAGGTGCAGGAAGGGGGAAAGATAAGGTGTGATATTCTGGGGTAGTGAGCAGGTAAGGTGGCAAGGGCTATTTCGACGGGTTCAACGCATGCCAGAAAGGGACTCTAATGAAGCTAGGGCGGAGGAGGGCTCCTTATGAGGCATATTAGTTTTCTTTTCTTTCAACGCTGTACTGGGCTAACTGGAGTCTGTGAGCTGTGGGCGAGGGCCGCATCACACAGAGAAGCTAAATAGTGAGCAATACATGGGTGTTTTTAGACTATATGTGGTTAAAGGCGAATTCTCTCACTTTCCAATGAGCGGAGAGCAATGTCTTCAGCTGGTGATGACATAGTTCATACTGCTTTTACTAATAATGACACCCTCGGTTTTGAGGGGTGAGTGGTATCTGAGGTGTGGCAACGTCTATCATAGTACCATACATGCTGAGAGAGAGTGAATTCACGTCGAGCTCACCCCCGATCGGTACGAAGGTGATGCCGCCCTGTGTTCACCCAGGTCGAGATCACCCTCATCTGCGCTGGGCATCACGTGCTGTCCGAAAGGCCGCAGATGACACAGCCACCCAGCCACAGTACCACTGTGACATGTGGCGAGCGTCCAGAAGTGTGTAATCATTAGAGCTAAATGATCCGCCGTAGCCCCGGCAATCTTATCAATTAACGCAAAACTTCTTCAGCTCCCTCCTGCTCATCGTCCTCCCAGCCTGCCGCATTCCTCCAGCTCCTCCTAGGTCATCTATTTCAGCGACCTTCGTCCTTCCTTACTCTCTTATCTAGCTCTATCAGCTCCATCGCCCGTCAAGCCCCGCGGCCTTTTTCTGGGTGTAACTGCTGAGTGCTCTCTGCCGAGTCCAGCAAGGAGAACTCGGGACTGTCGAGGGGCCCAGCGAAGCGTCATACGATGTGACGATACCACGTCCGCTGAGATGCTTAGGCTTTGAGCCTATAACGACTTCCCCGGCACCATTCCACATTGCTCTTTGCTACGGATCCGATTCTATCGCAAGGTTTCTCGTCGAACGCGGCGCTACACCTTCGCCAATCTATCCTCCCGAATTCTGCGGCTGCACGAGGCTTCATATGGCAAGCGCGATGGGACTTACATCTGTCCTGAAAACCTTACTCCATCACGGCGCGAATGTTCAAGCTCGCGATAACCAACTCCGGACAGCTTTACACTATACTGTTACACTGCCATAGGTGGATTCGCCAAAGCAAGGACAGGTAGTGATGTGGCTCTTGGCAAACAATGCAGATCCTGCGACAGAAGATTCATAAAGAAGACGCCCGGCTTCTATTGGGGAAAAGTCCTCAAACCCTTTCGTCAGAATGCTGTTCAAGAAAGGAGCCGAAGTCGCAATGTACGAGACCTTGTTCCAAGATCAAGTGGTACCCGAAATCCGGTGTCTCCAGAAGGAAAGAATTGAAGAGGAGGCATGGGCACAGGAGAAGAAGGAAAAGCAACTTGATAGTAAACGTGTAATTTCTGCTGCCGCGAAATGGGAGAGGGACCGTAAGACGGTAAGGAAGAAAAGGATTGCGACAGAACAGCAAATTGCCATCGCGAGATCTCGGGAGCAAGAAAAAATGACCGGAAGAAGAGAAGCTCAGAAAAGAGCACAGCAAAGTGCAAAGGAAAGGGCTAATAAACTTACTACCGCGCGGAAAGTAGTTGAAGAAGAGGCAAGAACTGAGAGAGCTCGGTCAGAGAGGCATGAAGCTACAAGGCGGGCGTGGTTGAAGTTGAGAAAAGACGCAGACCAGAGGCCAAGTAACAACTCAGTCTGATTCGCAAACAAGGTCTGACTGCAGCCATCTTCCAGGCTTGTGGAGGAGCAAAGGACGCGCAGCCTGTCAGTCGTGCGGGATACTGTATCTGTGAAACAGCCTTCTATTTGCTCTGATTGCGAATTCGTAGTATGCAAGCATTATAATTCAAGGAATCTGCTAGCATAGACTAGTTTCGTGACTGGGGGTCCGGCGGTGCGACTGTATAGAATGACATGTTCGATGTTACTGTCCGGTTGCACCAGGCAGCTGTATTGCCTTCAGAAGTGCAGATTGCTCACTGTTTCGTTTAAACCATCTATATTCGTCCGATCAATTGCGTGCGGACGGATAAGGATTGTCAGGATACTTGTGTGGTAGCTATGGGCCTACCTAAAAGTATTCTTAATTCGCTTTTTACGTTTTGTGCATGGAATTTTGCGACTTTTCTGGCGACTGTTTTCAGGGTTTAACTTTGTCCAGTGGTATGTGGAAGGCCTCTCGCAGAGAACTTGCCGACGAAAGCTGCGGTATGCGAAGGTGAAAGTGTTTACGGCGTACGGGAAGTACTTCAGGATTCATCGGCGATTGATTGACAAAACATCGGCTCCCTAGTTCAAAAGAGGATATGGGCACATTTCGTCCAAATTAGGCATCTATCCCATCCCAGCATTATCTCTGTTCCTCTCCTAACTATTTCTACATCTTCCCTCCTGTCCCTCACGTATGAGTAGTTGTCCAGCCTTGTCTTCAAAAATTGATCTGTGGTATATGGACCATAGGGGGTTTCAATTATGCACTTCAGAATGTCTGGGAGCCTGTATCCTCTGAGTCGACATTCGTGTGTTTCTACGCAGGAACGTGGCAAGAGGCTGAGCGAAGCTGAGCACGACTTTTATCTCTGGCAACACCCCCCATGACCGCGATCCATACCCAGCATCATGGCTGCGTTGGCTGTTTTGTGCGCAATCCCTTGTTGCAAAGTCCCCGCTCCGACACCATTCGATCCCATCAAAAAGACGAAGCCACGTGACTTTCGCCGCCCTCTCCAAATCTTTCCTCTCGATGTGCTCGCGACAATCGGACATCTTCCAAAGATAACATCTCCAACACTGAGATCCCCTTTGACACGCTAATCTAGGGCTGCTGGATTTGAAGTCTTCATGGGGTACGGACCCTCAGAAATTCAGCTCTCGTCCTCCCAGGCACGCTCAACCAGAAAATCCTGACAAACGAGTTTCTTCATGGCTCCCTACCTCATCCACATTCTGATTCCCGACAATACGTCTCCAGAAACAGCCTGTGATATCGCTCGAAGTGAAAGTGCGCTCGAAATTATACAAACCCTAGGGAACAAAGGCTGGGCTGTGTTGAGGAATTCCACCGCAGTTTCCTCGGCGTCGAAAGAGCAGGATGTGGTTTCGAATACGGTACTTACGGCTCTCCACTGCACGACCTTCTCTCACAGGAAGAACAGGCGGTTAAGACTCTATTTGGGGCCTTGCCCTATGACGGCGAATATCAACATAGCACTGTCAATATTGTGAAAAGAACTTCGGCCAAAAGCGAATGGATCCGAGCACCCAAATGGGAATTGTTTGCTGAAGGCCAGGGCACGTCCGCTATCTGGTGTCACCACCTCGGAGGTACACCAGAGGACAAATGGATCATGAAGTATGACAAAGCTGGCCGTTCTCCAGAGTCTGGCGAAGAAGGGGTGGTTGAGTTGAGAGGGACCGACATGTAGGCCTCCACCTTCATCCTCAGTCCCGTTATCTTACTGAACAATTAACAGAGTGCTAGTCGCCGCGTACTTGAGATTCAGCGTACCTGCACCAACTCCCGAAAAGGAACTGTATATGGCAGTTATGCTCTACGCTTGGAAAAACCATAGGTCGGCTGAGCTTAGCTCTGGGACATCATGATACCTGACCCCAGGCGGAACTGGATTCGCATCTGAAAGCTGCTGCGAGAGATAGTCATCTCCCGTCTCGGGCTTATAGACCGCGAAGATCAATTTGATTGGTAAAGCCGCCTTGCTGGAGTCCAGGCCATTGTATACTGATGCCAAAGGTGCGCCTCAGATAAATTCAGTACGTACAGGGTTGCCAGATGAAGCCTCGCTAAACAGTTCATTCAGAAGGGAATCGTACATTTCGGAGACTGTCGGTGGGCAATGTCCCGAATCGTTGTCGTAAGATAACCCCGGGCCCTCTTGGTCATTGAATGTTAAGGTGCAAGGAGCGTACGAAGACCCGAATGTGGTCAGCGCCTCATCATTTGAGTTAGTAGCACCCTCGGCAAAAGGGATGAAATCTTCAAAGTCCATTTGATGCACCATATTGCTGTACAACTCATCCACGGAGAATTCGACAGAGATTTGGTGCGATTGTGTTGCTGATCTGTTTGGTGTTTCTTCCGTCCGGACCGCGTCATCATGCACCACAGCTTGTCGTGATTCGGGGGCACGAAACATCCCTTCGCCAAGGTCATCTTGAGAGTTGAGATGTGTAATTTGAGTTGCACCACCTTCAACATCCAGAAGGTTGTGCCCTGCTGTCGCCTTTTGGTGTGGCCCATCAATCACCTCATCCATGTTGGCTCGAGTTGACACATTCTCCGGGAGGTCTCCGTATCCTAGACTCTGTTGCCCCGATAGATCTGTTATGTCTAGCTGAGTTGCCTTCCTCTTTTTGCTTCTCTTTCCCGTGCTCAGAGCCGTTTCCATGCCGATTCCACGCACCGAGTCATATTTGAGTGATGTTTTTGGCTTCCGAGTGTCATCTAGCCTCGTGTCGGGAGAAAGCAGCGCCATATAGGCATTTTCAGCTGGAAATTGTCAACTTGCACCGAATATTTATGGGGTATTCGAGATCGTTGGACATACCGTCAGATTGAAGAAACCATCTTAAATAAGGTTCAATCCTCACTTTCGGATCAGAGTTATGGTCTCTCTTTTCGTGATTTTGAAGACCTTGAGGCGAGCGGAAGACTTCTCCACAAGGCCTACACACTTCTTTTTCCATCAACGTCGACAGTGGGTGATGTCTCTGCATGAAATGTTTCCGCAGCTCCGGCTTGTCGTACAGATTCGTACAGTGTTCATCTGGGCATCGATATTTCTTGCTTTGTTTAAGTGTTGCAACAAAGTTGTAAAATATTCCTTCTCTTTTCTCCAGAGCTGATAACCGCATTGCGGCGCGCGAAAGCAGGTGTAGTTCGTCATTCGACGGGAAGTTATTCATCTGGCTATTCTCCGGCGGCGTTTCGAGCCGGTCAAGACGCTCGAAAAAGGAGTCGATCATGGCCGCGAAGGAGCGGAAAGGCATCCTCCGTTCCAACTCGTTCAGTCGTAACTCGATGGTCTCCAGGAATCTCCATGGATCAAGGCCACCGCCGTCTCGAATATGTTGATTGCGCTTTGAAGGATAGGTCTCGCTGCAGGTGAAAAGGGTAGGCCTCGAGTTCGAATGCGAGGACGAGTACGTTCTTGCCCTGGGAGGCTGAGTGTTCCTTCCTGGCGAGACAAATCGGATCTTCAATCTATTCTCTGCCATAACTTTGGACCATGGGACAATGACCGGAAAAGTCAAGATTCAAGATGGCGCATGAAAAAAGGAGAGATCGTGAACACCGAGGCATGCAAACATGCCAAGGACAACGTCGGAAACGTTTTCCGATCACGAGAACCGCTTGTATACCTAATATGGTTCAACTGTACCTTTTTGTTCCGAAATGGGAAAATCCATTCTCGCGACAAGTACAGCAAATCCTATAAACGTTGCAGCTCCTACAGTAACTTCTTCCCTTTCGTTCTCTTCTAAATAGTTTTACTATCCCTATGACCTTTATAAGACAAAGGTACAAACCACCCGTCATTTCAAAACAATGGTAAATTCCCACGAAGACATGAACGACTTATGCTGACAGAATTGGAAGCAGACGGATCATGATTCTGCATACGAAAGCGATAAGTGCGTCCCAACCGACTGTTGGAATCTGTAATTGATGAGAAGTCAGCTCTCAAGCAACCAACACTACCAGCATACCAACGGATATTTTAGATGGTCAAAGGCAATACGGTCGCCGATACCACAGGTATCGGCAGAGTAGTAAAGCTCAAATCCGGCCCCACGCAGTGTGCACCATGTTGATCTTTTCAGCATACTTGATTCCCGATGATGAGATCCAGCAATCCTGTCTCGACCTCTTCCACTGCTACTGCACGGCTTTACTTGGTGGCAAGCACTATCTTGCCCCCGTACCCGAGCAGAGCGACCGCGTTCTAGATCTCGGCTGTGGAACTGGGACATGGGCCGTGCAAGTCGCCGATGACCATCCCAATTGGCAGGTCACTGGCATCGACCTCAGCCCAATACAACCAACATGGGTTCCACCGAACCTCACTTTCGTGCTCGATGACATGGAGGACCACTGGACTCACGGCGAACCGTTCGACTTTATCCACTCACGTCAAACCGGGGGATCAGTGAAAAATTGGCCGGAGCTTATCCAACAATGCTATGCGTGAGCTTTCCTTGTCTGGAATTCGAGTTGACACTCACCCTTTCTGCAGAAATTTGAAAAACTTGGGCTGGATTGAATTTCAGGAGCTTGATTACAGTCACCAAGCTTTGGAGGGCGTAGCCGAAGAAAAAAGCCTCGTCCGTTTAGCAGATACGCTGACAATGAAGGCCTTCCGTGCACTAGGCCGCGAGTTGTCAGTCGGGGGGGAAATTCAAGGGTGGCTTGAAAATAAGGGATTCGTGAATGTACAACACCGTGTCTTCAAAGTCCCCCTTGGCCCGTGGCCCTGTGATATGAGACTGGTAAGTGTCCCAGCCCCCCCTGCTGTTCTGACGATTAAATCACAACAGAAAGTGATTGGTGATCTGCGTCTTTGCGAATACCGAGAGGGCCTTGAAGGTCTCGTCCTCAAGCCGTTTGTATATGGCTTGGGGTGGTCATCTGAGAACGTCAGAGAGTTTGTGAAACAGGTTTGCGACGAAGCAGACAATCAGAAATTTCCTTTGTGGTGTCAGTTGTAAGTTGAGCCCCTTCAGCAATCGAAAGTGCCCCTCATAACGACCTGACTTACACAAGCAAGCCATATTGTATTCGGTCAGAAGGTTATCTAAACATTGAATAATATGTTGAGGATGAGGTTGTTTGGGAAGTCCGAGAATGGAAATGGGAGAGTGGCGCTGTTCCACACTATGTTGTACCACGGTTCGCTTTATCTGTGCGTGATATCTCCGGAGTGTGTTGTTGGGGGAGAGGGTTCTTTTTGTTTATTCACCTGTTTGCGCCATCACAGAGATGAAAAGGGAACCTGTAAAATGCCGTCCGTGCTTAGAGCATAGTAGATGGTTCTTAGTTTGATGGGTGAGGGGTTTGTCCGCCAGCTAACTTAGACTCCTTCACCTGACACAAACTAAAGCTGGGAAGGCCAACCAAAAGTTGGGTGTGATTGGTAGTAACCGCTCAGCTACATTGCAAAGTGGCATGTCATCTTGGAACCGGGAAACAGGTTCCACAGAAGTCATGTCCGTCAATCGCCATGGACACTACCTGTCAAGAAGTTAAAAGTGATGACCAGGGCAGGGAGTGTCGAATTCAGTAAATTATCTATCGGAGGCGGAAGAGCAGTGTCTGTTATCCTTGCTACAGTCGTTCCCGAAACCGCCCTCCCCTTTGCGGACACATTGCAACTTTCTCCCGTGAGACGCTAAGGGTATAAGCGGGTTGCGCTTTCCCCAATTGCAATAGCTCGACTAACGCAGCTACGAATCAGCAGCAAGCGTATTTCACGGCGGTATTTCGAAAACTGTATGGTATTGGTAACAATTTAAGAGTGGCGCTGAGTCGTAATTGCTGTACGTTGAAACAATTACATTTTAGCACTGTATTTGGCTACGAGACGGGCCAAAGTGGTCCAGGCTCCAGGACGCTAGATATGGAGAGATTAGTGCCTGTGCCTTATTACGAAGGGGATCAAAAGCCGTGCAAATGGCATGGTGGCTGCATCCCTTCACTATGATCGTAGCGGAGAGATGGGACCTGTTCGGTTAAACCTCCCGGGGGAACCCAACATGTTCGGAGCTGATCCGGAAAAAACATCCAACGTTGGGTCACAAAGAATTGTGTGGGCTACCATTACAGGCGGGAGACCCACTCGCACGGTCTCAACGACTACGATATGTAAAGCATCTTAACAGGGCCCGGAGATAATCTCCGGCGCAGACCTGCTTTTTGCATTGCTTCGTTGTCAACATTACTTAAGGTCTCGCAGCATTCTCCTTGGCGTATCGGATTGTCCCTCCGATAATATTGTCTGTATATGTCCAACGCGCGCTCACCGAGATACCTTCCTTTACCCTTGTAAGCTCGATATTATCTTCTAAAGGACGCCTCTTACCGCTCGGGCTCTTGTTGGCCATACGAGTAATAAAACATCGGACGATGCTAAGACCTTTGGCTCCTGAGAATGTTGCTTCGCTTAGCTCCATAGTAAAGCAAGGGGCCCGGAAGATCTCAACAGCTTGTGGATCTTGTAAGCGGAAGCGAACGAAAGTATGTGCAGCTCAGCAGTTAGGAGTTTAGTCATATTAACATGTCAACCTTCTATTAGTGTACAGGTGGTAACCCTTGTGAGGCGTGCGCGAGGGGAAAGCATGTCTGCATATATGATGCTAGCTCAGACCAGCGAAGAAAAGTCGCACTTCGCCGAAATGTGGAAGAGCTCGCCTCCGTGCGGCAAGAAGTGGAACACTACAAGCAACTCCTCGGAGGAATTATCGCAATAATTAGAGCAGGTGACACGAACGCAAACAGAGATCTCATCTGCATGATTCGCAGCGGCTTAGGGCTATCACAACTTGCAGCGCATGTGAGGAATGGAGGTCGAGCCAACGGTGCAATCCAGCAAGCCTACGAGAACATCGATTTCCTGATCGACGAGACCAACCATCTCCCCACGCCGGTTCATATTCTCAATGGAATAGGTCTAATCGGTGGCCAGGGGTGCTCCCCTCGTGCCGATTCGAAGGCAGCGGTGACAGAAGTCCCAGCATATTCACATGGCATGCATCTCCAAGCTTCCAATCGACTGTCACAATGATCCATCGACAACCTCATATTGCTTGTCAACGGCGCAAAGCTGGCACTTAGCGGCTGAGCCGGTATGCGAAACGGCACCCAAAGTTGGCACAGAAATTGAGACACTCGAGACGGTGGATGCATATCATGAAGTGATGGAGGATGAGGAGGTCATGAATCGCTTGATTTAGTGACGGCAGCCAGACCCGGAAACAGGGTCAGCTCATCACCTTCAAGACTATAACGACCCATGCGCTGCGAAACTATCGCCCGACGCCGGCTGAGGATCACAGCTTAGGGTAACTAGTCCTTTCGTTGACGGGTTTTGATATACTGGTGTACTTAGCTTGGAATAAAAGGTGGCACTTCTGTCCAAAAATGGCTGAACTTGCAAGACTTCCCTGTTGATTTCACAAGTGTCCACGTTCAAGGCGGAAATGTCTGACTCTTCGCGGTTCATAGGCGCAAGCCAAGATGTCGTCTCGTGTAAGAGGTTTGCATCTAGGAAGTGGTCACATTGTAGCTGGAGATATGTTGGCCCAGATGTGGAGGTAGAAGCGCCGGTAAATACGTGGAGTTGGTTACTTTTTGCGTTGGTCTCGGACGTTGGTCTGGTAAGTAGATGGTTCGGGCCTATGTTGATTTGCCCTTCTGCTTTATTTTTGGGTTGATTAAGTAATTTCGGCAAAGTAAAGCCACTTGAACTCTGAGTCTGATCCCAATTTGTTGTAGGCAATAGTATGCTGACAGTGCGGGACGAGGACGATTTGTCGCTCTGTTTTGAGCCAGTCGGCGACGGAGACGGCGTTGTAGATTGAGTCGACTCCGCATGCAGAGAATGTGACATGACGGAAGAAGAGATGTGATCCGCCACTTTCACACTCTGCTCGAAGGGCGAATCGTTTAGCTCAGGTCCAATAAGGCCCAAGCCTTCGAGAATGTCCTTCGTAGTTACGGTGCCCTTTGACTCGTTGGGAAGATTTCCCGGAAAATCTTCTTTTCGTCGGCAAGCCCAATATAATCGTTGCAAGGCTTCGTCAGTGACCTTACGCATTTGGAAATAACTATCAGCGTTAGAAGATCAAGAGACGCCATATACGCTGGCTACCAACTCACTATTTCCGATCCTCCCGAGCTCTTCTGGCAGTGTATGTACAGTCGCTGTCATTCTCTTCACATGTTTTACATTTTGCCTTGCCATCGCACTTTTCATGGTCAGTTTCAGCTTTTATGTTCCGGTAGGTATTATAATCTGTGGGATTGCACCTTCGATTTCTTGAGTCTACAACGATCGCAAGCACGGGGCGTCCGCCTTCTACTTTGATCCACGTTGCTGCCAACGGTCCTCGGGACCCTGGTCGTCTTTGTCGTCTTAGGCATTGTGAGCACAAACGATAAGGTCGTAGCAGAACAGCTCCGCCAGAGGTAAAAACCTGATTAAGCCCTTCTAAACCTGTTTCTTGTCTCACTGGAACATCTACGTCATCGGCGAGCGACGGATTGCTCATAGGTGTGGCTTACCCCTCAGATATGGCTTGCCCCTCAGATGTGGTTTACCCCTCAGATGTGGCCTACCCCTCAGATGTGGCCTACCCCTCAGATGTGGCCTACCCCTCAGATGTGGCTTACTCCTAAGGTGTGGCTTGCCCTCAGGTGTAGCTGACCTAAGTTGTGGCTGTGTTCAAAGTTGCGTGCTCGTCCTTTAAGGGTAGAACACCTATCTAGCTCTGGATATAGCTGCAGAAGTATCAATCCCGCTCCCTAGCACGTATGAAGTAAAGGATAGTAGTACCACGTGGTTTGCCCTTTCCAAGGATGCAGAGGGTGAATACAATCGAGGATCTGTGATCGTAAAAATACGAGGCTTATGGATCGGAGAACACTAAGATTAGGTAACTGACCCGCCTGTTTAGGAAAGTCGAATTTTTTCTCATTCCCCAGCCAAAAAAACCCGGAAAAGGCCTCCGCGAGGTGGTGATTGGTTCACCACAAAGTAACAGTATTGCGCTTGTGGCTGCATATTTCGGCTACACGTGTGTGGTATTAGAGATATCGCAGTAAAATCAGCTCGATGTTCGCTCGCAATATGGTGGATTAGGGAAAGCGTAATCCACTTGTGTTACCAAGGTCTTGCGGTATTAGAAATACCATTGTAAAATCTGCTCGTTGATGATTCGTGGTTGGATTAGTCGAACTATATCAAATTGGGAAAGCCTGGCCCACTTATACCCCTTAGCCTCTAGTTGGAGGAAGTTGCAATGTGTCAGCAAAGGGGAGGGCAGTTTCGGGAACCACTGTACCAGCAGAAAGTGAAATGCGATTATGGTACACCATACCAGCGATGCATTGAGCGTGAGCACCTATCGACCGTCACCGAAGCCTGACCCCAAGCTCATTTCCACCCCTCCTGATAGCCTCAGCTCCGATGGATTCCAGCACACGTCGGCGTGCCTGGCACAGTAACGAAGCAGCCGACCGAGCCGCGAAAGAGGCAGCGGGCCATCACCCGAACGCACGACCGAACCTCGAACCACCATGGGAACTAGAAACACTTCGGGCCCTCATGGCCACAACGAAATCCACCATCCGCTAGGCCTTGAAGGTCGAATGGGACCAGAATTGGGACTCGGCCAAGTACGGTCGGGAACTCTCCATCTTGGGGTCCGGAAACGGGGCTGTTGAACTAGCAACGCCTGAGCAAGTAGCATGAATTGGTCTGTCCGTCTGTACCTAGTCTCAGGCCATGCCTGTTCGTTTACATACAAATAGTAGTGGCCTGAGAAGATCTCTCCTGACTCTTGCCATGCAGGCCTCTCAAACGTCATCTGTCGGATAGCCGTTTAATCGGCGTTCCTGAGACAGTAAGTGCCAGAGATCCTTAGGTAAGCCGTCAACAGGGATCCTGACTACCCATATGGGGCACCCACAGAGTGGGCAAATGCTGAGAGCTTTTGCTGCCAAGAGAACCAATCCAGAATCCATTGATAAATACAGGCTACACCCGCGGAAAAGTTAGGCCTCGGTTATCTCACAGCAAAACTGCCCAAACACCGCTCTGGAGTTGGCTGCAAACTTTGACGGTCGCCCACAATTTCCCATGGCACGTTGGTCACTATTGTAGATCAATACTGCATTCTTGACTCATTCAGCATCTTTGGTCATGCGATCATTATGTGGTGCACCTCATAACGCCGCTATCAGGTTGGCGCATTCGGCCCAATGACACTTTGTGCTAACTCCACATCAGCTTCAGCAACGATGCTTTAGACAAATCGATATAAAGGTCCCGTTATCGTTTACGCATCAATTCACGACCTCAGTGTTCCTTTTGCAACCTGCAAAGCCCCACTCTCAGTGCGCCAGATTATACTTGAGAAGTACACCCTTTCATGAGAGAGAGCTCTCGAAACGACGTTCTCTCGTACCTCACAGAGTGTCATCGACGGGAAGGATTGTATATATGTGCCTTCGTCCCCTCCCCCCTCCTTCCAATCCAGATCATCACGGAACGCCGACGGTATCGACCACCGTGCCTGCCCCCGAGGCACCGCCTGAGAAGCTCACACTACTCCCATTACGGAGTGAGATCCTATTTCTTGGAGAGCCGAAATGGTCTTATCAAGGGATGAAATAATTAATAGATGCGACAAAGCTGGACCCCAAGACCTTGTATCACACATACCATACGGAAACAGCGTCCTCAAACTCTCCGACAGCGTCGCAGTCAAATTTGGAAGTGGGGTGACCAAATATGAGGCATCTAGTCAAGAGAAGGCATACCAAATTTTGGATCATTGTATAGTTCGAGTGCCCAAGGTGTACGATTTCTTCGAAGATGGGCGGGGTCGTGGCTACCTCGTCATGCAGTTTATGGCGGGCGAAACGCAAGAAACGTTTACAGACCCCTCGCAGCTTGATGCTCTATCCCAGGTCCTCGATCATTTTGCTACTCGAAAATCTGAGAAGCCAGGACCATTAGGTGGCGGACCATCTTCTGCTCTTCTCTTTGGTGAATCGGATCCTCCTACTTTTGAGACCATTGAAGATATCGAGCGATGGTTCAATATTCGACATCTTGTTACAGGAGCGACGCTTTCTCTTCAAGGTTCAGAGTTAGTGCTGTGTCACCTCGACTTGTTTCCGCGAAATATCTTGTGGCTTTCAGATCAACCACCTTGTGTACTCGACTGGGCCTCAGCGGGCTATTTCCCAAGGATATTCGAAGCCTGCTCTCAACTTATCCGCACGAGGCTTGAGCAAAGCGGCGGTGTTCTCCAAATTCCAATACCAGAATGCGACAAGGGCCGGGTGTCACTGATTTTGAAAGCGTGGGGAAATGCTCAACGATTCCATTTGTAAGTGTTTTTGGCTCATTGCGACCTCGCTAACTCTTGTTCAGCACAAGAGCTGAAGGACGATATGTCAAGGAAGATACATCCGCTTTACTGGCTGAATACCCTGGACCCCTTCCGAGTCCTCCTCATGCTCCAATCTTGTACACACCTCCAGATTTGCCCAGCTGAGGAAGGCAAAGTCTTACTTCTTACGACTTTGCGGGGGTTGGAATGTGCCCTTGACCATCTGCAATGGAATACGGGAATTGATAGTATGATACCGATAGAGAAGATCGGGCCACAAGGTTTGTGCTGCATCGTCCACAAGCCAGCCTTTACTGCACCAGTCGCTCAGAACAGTGTACCTAGGCAGGTTAGTCATAGAAATCACAAAACCGATCGATATTACGTACACCCACCACCGACATCCAGAACCCCCTCCTGACATGTCATATAAATGACGACTGTTGTTGTAGAGGAGACTTGCAATGTCGCACACTCGAACAATTCCTTTAACTTGGAAATCCCAGTATCTAAGCGCAGAGTTCGAGAGCTGATAATCGTGCTTGCTCCATCGCAGTTCGCCATCGATATAGCCTGGTTCCGCTGCCATGTTGATCCGAACCGATTTCCCATCGTGAAGCAGAAGAAAGATAGACCAATGGTTGTCGCTAATAGTTGGGCCCGCGGCGCCAGCGGTGTGTACCATAATTCGTACTGTCTTGACGCTACGCGTATCATGGATCGCCTCCTGGGGTGTTATACTACTAGACATGGCATGTGAATTTTAATATTCCTGGCGCGTAAAGGATAGACACTGAAGGATGCTCCAAGAGACGAACAACCATATCCAGCGCATTGATCTTCTACACAATCAACCAAGCGGGGTTGCTTCCCAACTGTCTTTGAATTCGGTTAGTTCAGAAGAAGGCGCTTCGCTAGACCTTCCCAGGGTTATATGAGAGGAAATTAAATTTAAACGACGGAAGTGTTAGAAATGGCCTTACATGCGACCAGGGGGCGGGATGCCCAAGGAAAGGTCTGCCGGGCGCGGCAGCCTGACAGACAGCACGGGCAAAGGGAAGGCTATGGTCACGTGTGGGACGTGACTTCCAGGAATACCATTCCCAGTTGCCTGTTCGGGACAACCTCACAAGTAGATAGCTACGCTCATTACCCTTTCATCGTTACACTCTCTCGTAGCCAACTCATGACATCTGCTTGACTAAACTGTTCTTCAGTTACCTGGCTTCTCGTGCCTTGCGTCTTCTATACCCCGCTCATGCAATAAAGGATCTGTGACTGAGGAGACCTAACCCGCTTAGGTCACACAGGAAGCAGCTCTGACAGGAAGCTCTTGTGCATAGAGAATATAGGACCTTTAGATTCCATTATCTACATCGTCCATCAGTGGAATAAGGCGAGGAGAGACTACAGAATTACAGAATGATGTCCCGTACCCTGAAACATAAACGAATAGATATAGAATATGTAAACAGGTAGGCGTGAAGTCCATGAAACACTGTGTCTGCCCAACGCTGAAACTACAAAATCAGCAAGAGTAGAGCCCTTTTATCACCCATTTAGTTCTAGGACATTCTTGCATCCCAGAGGAAACAGGGACCTAGTTGACAAAGCAATCTCCGGGCTAAATATGCGAATACCCTCCCAGATTAACAATCATGATTTACGACCGACGCCATCCTTTCGTAATTCTTCTTCCTGCTCTCCAAGTTCTCCTTGAGTCTCGCGCTACATCGGTAGCGCTGACTCTTCCCATTGACCGCCAGCGACTCAGGGATCCAACTCAAGTCACCAATGTTACTTTCAGGGGTCCAACAGGCCAGCCACTCTCCCAAGTACCAGACTTTGCCGTTATGCTTGTGCTTGTCGACGACGTGATATATGTGGGAATACAGAGTGTCTGAGCACCCTGCTTGACAACGCGGTAAATGTGGATCAAAGCTCTCCAGAGTACCCTCGGTCTTCTGTACCTTGAACTTCTGTAGCTTCTCCTCCAGTAAGGATTCGGCCTTCGAAACATCAAAATCATCAGGAGAGATCCACCGATTCACAGTGCCCAAGAGATACTCAATTTCTTCGTGGTCAGCGCAGTATCTGACGTCATAGGCAGCGGTAATTTCCCAGAATTCATCGTGAGGGAGTCCCGCGTCCTCAAGACTGAATGGGAGCGATTCCTGCAGGCTGACAGGGTCGCTTACAACTTCCTCTTTTCGGGATCCCATAGCTAGGTAGCGTGCGTCTATGCCGGCCGGAGGCTGATCATGTGTTGGTGACGATAACGCTAGGGGCACCTCATCCGGGAGGTTCGATGCATCACAATAAGATATTAGGGAGTTTTCGTGTAGATGATCGCCTTCTCCTTGTTAGTGGATCAGGCCTTTGCGGCGGAAATGATCAACTAACCTGCTCCGCTGACGCCGCAAGCGAACCCTTCTTCCTCATTCAGCTCCGGAGCATCAGAAGAGAGGTTCCGAAAGTCGTCAGCGCGACTATCTCTCAGCTGATTGGGCTGTCCGGAGCGTTTAGATCGCCTCTGGACCCGCTTGCGTTGCTTAATAGATGTTGGAGGTAGGCGGGATTTAACAGCGCGACCAGATAGCAACGAATTGCCATTCGGCGTTATAGTGAGGCGGGTGCCTGAGCGGAGTTGGCGCGAGGTACCAATATCCTGGCGGTGCTGATCGGCGCGAGTGATGGCCATAATTAGGGGTAAGGATGGGCCTGTGAGACACGGAGTAAGAAGAGGGAGTGAAGATAGTAGGAGGAGAGAACACGGCGAGAGCCAGGGCGGAAGACGGGTTTTTATACCTAACACGACCTCCACTCGGCTCAATGAACCCATGTCCTGGCCCAGCGTCGTCAAGGCTCTTCCATTGATCCTCAGCTTGTCTGCCTTGCCATGTCTGGTTGGCGTGTCCTGGATGAATTCAGCAAGGGCCGTCGATTAAGGTCCATGGCGTGAGAATCGTATCTTAGACGCCGTCACCTGCTGGCGTTGGAATTGCCGCTCCCCCAATATTCCCACGCCGTCGCCGAGCTACTCGTATGTCGGCGCGACAAATGGACACACACCTCAGGATTACTATGATTCAAATCCCTGCCGCTGGCTCGCCGCAACGTATTTGTCCCTTTCTTTCCGATGGATTCGCATGATCCGTAAGAGGAAATTTTTCGAAGTTAATCCGATCTTTTGGGAGCAGCTATGCTATGGACTGTGTGCTGAAAGCCGTGGGCTACTAAAGTTAGTTTGTATCCCGAAGATAATTTCATTGAGCTTACCATCTTCAACGCGTAGTCTTCCTCGCGTTTCTCGCTATGCGGACTTTGAAAACGTAGTCATCTCTTCCACCTCCAGCGTATGTCTGGAAACGAATCCTTGAACTCCCTAATTCGGAAGGGCTCCAGCAGAAGAGAGTTGAAATCATTCATCCTCGGCGAAGGCGTTGTCGCCGTGGAAAAGTCAACTGGGTTGGAAGACCCCAAGAACGAGCTGCACGCCGACTTGGCGCAGGCACAGCTCGGTCACGTGGTAGTCGGATCAGGCTTGGTAAATGTTCGGCTAGTGCTCGCCCCGACTGTGACAACCGAAAAGTACGGCGGACCATATGGAATGTATATGCACCTGCGGCCTGTTATTTCAGTCCATTGTTCAACGCGTTCGTTCCTTTCTCCGTAATGCCCAGCTCCCCCTCCTGTTCTTCGAACACATCTCGAATGCAGTTTTCATTTCAACAAAAGAGAAAACTTCCGCCCTCAGTGTCATCTAAACCTTTCAAAAGACTTTCCGCGCATCGCCAGCAGCAGTCATGGGAAGAGGAATACTTTGCCGGCACCGAGGCCATTGTCGGGGAAGAAAGAAGATGGATATCTGATATAGAGCAAACGTCGTTGCGATTCTCTACCACGCTACACTTTGTCGGACCCCTAAATCAGCCTCCATCCGAGACGCCCGCTCAAGTATGGCTTACTCAAGGACACAGCAAATATGCCGTCAAATTGGTCAGTAGCCTTTCGACCTTACCTATACGGAGGCCCTTTCTTTAACCACCTTCCCAGTTCAAACCTTATACGGATGAAGATGCAAAATCTCAGCTGGCACACCTTCCTGATCCAAAGCCGAGTCTCCAGAAGGTTAAGCATGATTACAGCCCGTTCCTCCAGGAGATGAAAGCTTACGAACGTATACGCAAATTTTGCCCGGAATCTCAGCGACATTTCTTCCTGACTTATCATGGTACAATCGACATACCTCGGAGTTCTGGTCACCACCAAGGGGTTGTGATCGACCTTCTCCAACTTGGGATTGAGAACCGCCGGCTACAATCGGCAAGTGTTCCTGAAGGTTTTCGACCACATCTCGATAGTCTACGGCTTGCGCTCGTGGATATGGACTTGTCGGAAGTTGAAGAAAGATGGTATCTTAGCGTGTTGAAGAGTCGGCTGAAAATGGTGACGGCCTTACATGCGCTTGGTATCTCTCATGGCGACATAAAAAGTGATTGCTTTGGACTGCCAGTCTCTCTACACGACATTGCCTTGTACGACTTCAGTCGCTCCTACACTTTCACACCGGAGCGTCCCTGCCGACTTCGACTACGACCGTTGAAGCGGGAGGTGGATGTTGAGCGCCGCCATGTTCGGGAGACAGTTTTGGATTTGTAAATGCCTTTCCCTTCCAAAAGGCGCGCCGACCGGTGAAATACTAATCATTTTTAGGGCTAAATCCGCTCGATTATTGCACCACTTCGCGACACTCTTAAATACGACAGCAGAAAAGGCGCGCGACATGCTCCGTATACGTGTCCCTCGTCATTTACTTCCAACGGAACTTTCCGTTGTAAGGCTATCTATTATCCTCGAAAATAGTGGTACGTATTGATACGTCATATCTATTTAATGCTACTAACGTACTCCTGCAGATCCGTTCTTTCCTTCGCTCTCCTCTATCCTACCATTTTTAGAGCCGACGGCGTCGGGAAGACCGGCGGAATGGACGGTGACGATGGTAAAGCATCTTGACGACTTTGTGTGCGTGTCCTACTCTGAGATGAAGGACTGCGCCGTTCCATCAAAGAGCTTCATACTGGCGTCTCTCGTGTCTTCAGGTGGTGTTATTATCGAGCAACTCAGCTTACTTTGTCCCCATGGAAGCCCGCCTAGCAAGTCCGCTTTCGCATTACTACCTAGCACTTGGCTCGGAACTCTAGATACCAGACGGCTTGTCTGGATCCTTCTCCACTCGCCGTCATTTTGTGGGACTGAGAAGACGGTGACCGTTCTAGATCGGCAGCAGCTCGATACCGAGATGAAAGAAGTCCATTAAACGACATCAGGTCTATACTATCAAGGTCTACGATGCCTTTCCGAAGTACCCTGCTCCCGTGTCGAATCCTTCCTACTTGTAGAAGACTGGCCGAGATCCCCAGGGGGCTCTTTCCGTTTCTCTGCCACCTTCTGCTGCTCACCAAAGATTGGTTCATAATGATCAGATAAAGCCCGCTCCTCTGCTGCCAGTCGAACTAAGCAGTAGAGATGAAGGTTGATAGTATTCTTTGAGTTCCCATGATCCCATGGTGTAATCACCACTTCCAGCATAGCTACATCTGCATCCCGCGGCTCCGGTCGAAATGACATGGTGCTGAACGAGTCTGATATTTCAGAGACGTTGGTGCCGGTAGATGTGTCTGATAATACTCTGTTATGACTCTTTACCGCTCTCTGTCGTGATAATCTTGATGTGGGCCCCTGGGGGGAGGGCGAAAGTCTCGCTCGTACAGCCACAAATACCTTGTTGGTAAGGATAAATCCGTATCGGGTTTTGTAAACTTTGCAGTAATGCTGGACTTGTTCGAATGGTCGGACTATGTTAGCATCCCGCTGGTCCAGATAGTTTCCAGCAGCTACCAACCGCATTGCTCTCTCCACATCCCACTCCAGTTTGGTGTCTCCGCACACCAGAGCCCGACAGACACCCTCTGGAGATGAGTATTGAAGGTTGTTATCCCCAGCGCCCCAATCTGGTCGTGCATGGGGATACGCGGTAATCCGCGACCCGGCGGCGATAAATAAAGGTTCAGGAAGTGCGCGGGACACCATATTGATATTGGTGCTCCCAAGGAGGATCGTGAGCCCAGCCTCATCACAGATAATGTTAGCGCCAGCATCTTCAGCGGTGGTAACAGTACTGGATAAGTCTGTCTCTCTGGTAAGAGATGTGTGGAATCGCTTTATCAGATGGTTATATTCGAAGTCGTCCCATATTCCGATGTTCTCGACCGGATCCCAGTCGTCATGTTGAGTATATGAGTGTGGTGGTGGGGAGTGGACAATCAACCGCGCGTTTGGTGCGGTCAGGTATTTAAGGAGTGTCTGGGGCATTGTTTCTGAGGCCTTTTATCATTAAGGAAGCCCGATAACTGGGTTGATAGCACCAGCACTACGAAGTAGGGAGCGACGCTCGCATTTTTAAAGATTATGGTTGGCTTTACTTCGCCGGAGCGACCCAGAAGTCTGGCAAAGACGTGTCATCTGATGGTTGGTGTTAAAAGGATCCTGGCTGGCGCCGACCCATGCCCATGAGTGGGCATTTGTGAGATGCATGCTAGCAGAAGCACAAGAGGTTCATTAGTACGCTACTGTACGACCAGCAACGGGTCTAGGGTTTAGAAATACACTTTCCCAGTGTCAAAGCCGACTTGCTAGGTCCTTTCCGCTGTCAACATTGGGCACCATGGGATACCTCTCCGATGCTTCTCGATAGTTGCTATCTCATTCTTTCCGAAAGACGGCAACCGACGAAGCCATTCAACGCCAATATCTTTTTCTCAACCTCCGCTCAGGTCTTACTCTGTTCAAATGGTAATGGCGGAAATGGTCTCGACGGTTGACCTGATATCTTGTACGGTATAACCGGAACGCGGTTTGAGGGTTAAGTATTGCAAATAGGCACTTTCCCCAACAATAACGGGATATCCTCCCCGCCCGGTAAGCGAAACCAACACCTCACTGGAGCGAGAAGTCTCCAGGCCGGTCCGCCCGCCCACACGACAATATGGCCATTGAACATGTGATGTCCAATCTGGAGCGCGATGGGCTGAAAAGAGATCAAGAGCATCTCGGAACGCAGGCCTTGTCCAAATCCATTTGAGATAGCGCCTTCGCCAGATTTGACTCGATTATATCCTTCAGAATTGATAGGTTCGTTTCGCACTCTATACTTCTGCAAACCTTGCCTCGAACAGCTTCCTCATCCTAGATAGCAGCCCCCGCAACATAAAATGCGTCAGCGTAGTGTAGCCTTCCTTGCTGGGTGTTCCTTTCGACGAATTCTCTCGTTTCATCAGTGCAGTTGTTGAGTATCCATGATAGTAGCCGACACGAAACCTCTGGGTCTGGAGCTCGAGGAGAAGGGGGTGCCGAGGCGTGCCGTGACTGTCACGCCGGGTCATCAGCCGGAGGGCCTCTGACTCGCGGGTTAAATACCCCGATAGTATGCAGTGAGACGGTGTGATCCATGTCGTGTGCCAGATAGTTCGATGTCTCGAGCTTCAAAGGTTAAGTTGGTGACGGTGATCGATGGCAGCCGGTATTTGCCAAAGTGCTGACGTAGTAGTCACGTGCCTGCGCCGTCCCTCTTCCAAGGTTACCCCTCTTCAATAAGCGCAGTCAGCCGAGCATCTTCCAAGACACGGCAGTACAGTACCTTATGGGCTAGCTTATCGTTGTAGTATGGCTGTCAGATTCCCAGATCGCTTCTTTCGGTCCTCTGAGCATCGTGTTGAGGCCGAATTTGCGCCTGGTTTCGATCGCTGTTGAGGAATTACTGGCCTGCGGGGCAGAGGGCATCTCAAAGAAGGAAGGTTGAGCGGATGTCACTCTAAAGATCTGATTCGTGCGATCTGCGTCGTAAATCAGCATACATCAACACGCCCTCGTCGATCAAGGCTCCCAACCTTTCGCTGTCACAACATGGCCAAAGTCAGGACATGATCCTTAGCCAATCACCTACGACTTCGGACATGGCTCGGGTGGTCGGTGGTTCTAGTCGCAGCGTTCAACGACATCGTGCAAACCTACGATGTTTTGGCGCAACTACTGCACCCCGAGATCCAGGTGGTCGTCCTTCGATTCTCACTCCAGTGATGTTCTCCGAATTGTGCAAACATTTGTTCGAGAAGCACGATGAGAACTTGGACGGTTTCCATGGCGGCTCTGCGAAACGCTCTCGTTGTCTCGTGGAACAGTACAAGAATCCAAGCAAGATATCCATATTGCCTGGAGAAACATGGCCATGGTTTTCCACCGAGTTCTCGCAGACAAAGGCGAAGTGACTGCCACAATGTGAAGGGAAGCGAGTATCGGCTCGTGTTTCCACAAGCCGATGATCCTACAGCAGCTGATTATGCTTGAGAGTTCGATCGGACCCATTCCGTCTTTGTGACCCTGAATCTGGCAGGAAGACTGATCGATCTGAATTACTCCGTGAGCCCTCTGCTACGTCGCCAGCGCTAACTCTTTTCATTGACTGCCAGCGACTTAGGGATCTAACTTATATACATGGGGAGATTCGGGGCCTGCCCTCATCGCGGGTATGAAATGCAATTCCGCGCCCAGAGCAAAAGGCAGAGAGGTTCAATTGGCGATCCCCGCGGGTCTCTGCCGGCCAGAGGATAGTGAGTTGGCAGAGTGACTGTGCGTCTCTGATACACTTCCTCAAGGCCGAAGAGAGTCTCTCTCTAATCGGTGTAGATGTAACGGTCATGAACAAGGTCAGGCGGTGTAGTGACCTAGGGAGTCTAAGTTTGCCATTTCTCGTGGAACGAGATCCTAAGATCATCACCGCTGGAAGTTGTAGGTCGGTCAGAGACGTATACGGTGCTAGATACCCGATTGAGGAGGGCGAAGATCCAATGGGGATGTCCAGTTCCATTGTTTTTAAAGAGGATTGAGCTGAAGGGGGTATGTTTTTGATGATCTGCTGAACTACCCAAGAGCCCCTCTCCCAAGATCCATGTCCATGTTTTCCTCTCATAGATATACGCAACACCTGGAGTTCAGGACAGGCCTGGAGGAGCGGGCCTAACGCATGAGGGCTCATGATTGGATCGATAGAGTGTCTGATATCTAGGCAGGTAACACCAGATACTGTGGGCAACTCGTTCGGTGGGTGTATAATGAGGAGGTTGTCGATACAGAGCTCCCTTAAACCATGGAGCTGAAGAAGAGGATCCAGGTGAAATGGGATTTCCTGTATCATCTCCAGCCTAATTGTCGAAAGTTTGCTGATTCGAGAGCGGGCATCTCGCGCAATACGACTTAAGCAACCCGAGGAGGCAGATTTCCAATCGATACCGCGCCAGCTAAGCTCCTTGATGTTGTTCAAACGTGAGAGGAGTAACGCAAGCCAGGCCTCAACTTGATTATCCTCGAGGTGCTGTAACAGCAGCGACTCTTCTTGATCGGAGAACAGTGGGGAGCGGTATTCCCTCTCGATTTTTGACAAGATATCCCTCGTTTGAGCTAGGTTCCCCCCAAGGCCATAGTCGTCGTCGAGGATGCGGACTGAATAGATGAAGTGTTCGAGTGCTGGAGCGGCATGAAGCGACCTCACTAGGAGGGGAATTGTGCATCGAGACAGAACGACGGCCTTGTAGAGTAGCGGCCGGCAAATTTGGTAGAATGCTTTGCAACATGTTGAGACCGTCTTTAGATCGCGGTTATCAGAAGCCGTACCGTAGGGTGCGGGCTCTAAGTTCATCAAAATTTGAACCCACGTTTCGCTGGGTAACAAAGGTAGACTCTCTGTGAAGCGCATGACTGAACAGTAGTCGGAAAAGACAATAAGCGTAGGGAACAGTGGGGATATTTATGTCACCACTTACAGAGGAGGTCGCTGCCCCAGGGAGGGACGCAGCTACGGTAGTCGTAGAGCCCAAGATCGCTGCAGGCGCCGAAAGTCATGTCGATGCGAAGTGACACCAGTACTCGGTAAACCGGATAAATCTGCCAAGCGGAACTTCAAACAGTTGGAATGCCACCAGAGTGTCGAGTGCTTCACCGGAGAAACGGCTACTCTGGCACATATGCGCCAACCTCGGAAATGCTACCTTGGCAATTAATCCTCGCCATGTTGCTTCCCTCAAAGCACAATCCTTGCACCCGAGTGTATCATGCATTCAACTACCCCTTGTGTCTGTCTGGAGAATCGATATCGATGCCAGTTCTGCTGGTATACCGAGTTGGATGGCTATCCCCGTAAGTCAGTATCCGCTCCTTGCAAATGTCTACTCTCTAACACCTATTGAAGTTGAGAGTCGACCGATTAACCCAACGACCTGCTTGCTATGTTTTCGGAAGCCGAGGAGTACTTCCGTCAAATTTCATCGACACTGCATCACTACAGTGCTTAGGGCCCTGTCGTCAGCTTGGAAAGATGACCCTGAGTGTAAGCCGGAGGCCATCTTGTTGGAATCGGCACTGGCCTCTCGGCCCATAATCCAACCACGCAGGAATACCATCCAGCTCATCTTCCGAAATCTCTTTAAGGAGCACACCTCCACGTTCATGCGTGCGCGATGTGATCTCACAGGGCTCAAAACCCTGCCTCTCGATGTGCTCAAACTCCTCTGCGCATATCTGGATCCTTTCCCGGAGCTCATCTCCATCATTCAAACGCTGCCTCTCTTGGCACGATATATAAAACGTGGTACGCCTTCTTGGTCCACAATCACCGATTTGAAACCGGGTGTGACGCTCTTTATGACTTTCGACGAAGCACGGGGAATCGAGTACTTAAGTAGCCTTAGTACGACCAACGACAATCCTAACCAGACCCGGGCACTTCTCTTGGAAGATGAAATAATTGTGTGCCGCGACCACTTTGGAATTCGGAGCTTATACTGTGGAGAAGATTGTCCTAAATGTGATAAGTCAAGGAACTGCTTCTATTACACTATACCACTGAGGAAACTTGGTGCTAGTTCATCTCATCTCCAGCTCTTTAAAGATGTAAGTTCTATACTCTCACTACTTACTCGCTCTGGCCCTGACCTGGCTCCTTTTAGGGTGTGTTTGTGCGGTTACTTACTCCTGCTCCGGTCGATGATATTCGGGTGGTTGAATGGAATGTACCATCCCTCCCTAATGGCACCATTCGATTCTCAAACAATGCGCGCACGATGCAGTCTGGTCCTCTTGCCCGCTTCGAATATCATAACCTTGTCAATATTAGAGGGATTTCTGCTGTTGTTCGCAATGGCCGAACAATCGACCTTTTCTGCCATCAGGAAACCCCCGGAACCGCTTTCGCATTATTCGCTGGCTATTTGGAAGAACTGTTCCCTGGCAGCAAATTACTCTTTCTCTATTTCCCTGTAGGGAAAGAGGAAAACTTTCGGGCTGTTTGCCTCCGCCGTCGAACGGGGTTCAAGTGGCCGTTGGACTCGCCAGTACTTCAAGTGAGCCCCCTACCTCCCTCTTCCCCTCTCCCTTCCTTCTCCCCCAGTCAGCTCAATGGGAACGGAGACTAAACCTCTCAAGGTCGCGACGGATAAAGGCAGGAGCTATACTTTTGGCCCTCGACCACAGAACGAGCGTGCCTTTACGTTTGAAACTGTCTCCACCGAACGTCCAGCGCGGATCGAGGGCTTCTTCCACCGGTCTGTCAGTGAGCACGCCCCTGGTTTCTCCGAAGCGGGTCTAGCAGCATCAGGCAAATGGAAGCAGGAGCCTATACCTTTTTTTGGTCCGAGCCATTCTTTACCATGCCCTTCCATCGGTAGTCCAGATCGAGACTGGTGTTTCAGCGTGGCATCTGTGAGATCACTCACAACAATGCAGGTGTGCAGGAACAGCGCAGAAGACGTTTCGTGCCTAGGCGTCCTTTTGTACACTGATGACACCGTGGATTGCTTGGGTCAGGTACGATTCGACAAGCACTTATCACGGAGGGTATCTGTTCAGAGCTGTGTCTTTCGCAATCATGTTCCTTACAAAGAGCTACATGTCTATATCCGTTATGCGCCGGAGCATGAAGAGGAAGAGTTGCATGACGGCTGGGAGAGATTTCCCATTGAAGGTGAGGTCGCGTGGTGGTGTGGGCCTAATGGGAGTGAAATGCAGCTGTGCAGGGAAAGAATAGCTCTAGAGAAGTGATTGGATACTATTAGTTCTGATTCAGCTTGCTGAACGCAGCTTCGGCTTCCACAGCCGTTCCAGGCAAGTCGTCTTCCGCGTTGAACCCCACCAGGTCCCGCAGCTATAGCTGTAATTGTGCTCTCTCAACCGTCTCGCTTCCACCATCAGATACCAGTGTCTCAAATCCCCAAGTTTCCAGACTTGAGCCAACGCGGGTAGGCATGGTGTTGGCCTCTATTCGGCATCTACGCGCCATGTTGCGGAAACATCGAGTTTGGCATTGAAGTCGGATCAGCCACACCGCTTCCTGTCGCTGGGAGGTGGGCTATAGATCTGTCCATTCCAAGAACTGGAGCAGGGGTGATCAGTTTCATCCTTTCGAAAGCACTTCTCAGTTTGATGCCTTCTGAGGAGTGTGCCTCGATGTAATCCTCCTCGTGCAAGGGAATCATGTACTCATCGCCTCGCTCATACATCCACGCTTTTGCTTTGGTTCGAGTCGTCGTCAGCGCGTAGACGTGTCCTTGCCAGGGGTGATTGTCGAGCGTCAGTTTGCAGGCATCAAGAGCCTGCGCCTCGGATTGCCTCGTAGCTTCTGCGGTATCAACCCCTTTAGCCTCGAGCCAACAGAGAACAACAATTTCTCTTGCATTTGGCTCTATGAAACGAATACCACGATCAATGCGTCGGCGACTGTCCGCTGTTGGTCTGATCTCGGCGTCGCAAATCCAAAAGTCCTCCTTGAACTCATACTTGGATAAGAGATGTTGCCAAAAAGACAACGACTCGGGCTCTTGTGCATCCTTTGTATGCGCAGCTTTCCACAGTTCGAACAAGACAGCCCGAAATGTCCCATCAGGGCTCATTAGCAACGACATTCTGCTTCGTTCTGCTTAGAAGGTATCTATGTGAAGAACATATTAGAATCGGGGCCCTCCCGGCTTATGAGGGATAGTGAAGAGCACATGCATCGAAGGTATCGAACACCCTGCGTACGCGATGTGTTTGCACATGGGTTCAGCTGAGACCGTCAGCCTATCACATTTTGACACAAATTTGTTCTCGACCTAGTAGGACTGGCGTTGTTACTTGAGGTTACCACCTAGTTTTCCCTCTTTTCCGAACTTAACCGACGTTTTCTACTTCATACAATGTCACCAAGACTATTCTCGAAGAAGCAGTGGCTATAGTTTACCAGGATTTTAGCCACCCACAACCACGATCAGACAAAAGGCCGCGAAAGAGTGAATTGAGGCCTCATCACAAGCGGAAGCATTGCTCCAGGAGCTTGTGGAAATTAGACAGTTCAATATTCTGTCGGACGCAGCGGAGATCTAACAATGTTCCGAACTAGCCTCCATCAAAAGGCTTGACAATCTATAAAACTCACCCGCACCTCACGAAATGACTTCGACTTTTTTGCTCTTCCTGCGCCCTTTGATATCTTGGTTGGAGTGTTTGAAGAGATCATGGAAATAATCTATTAAGTGAGATTTTCCAGGATCAATTTCGTTGCTAAGAGCCTGTGCGGTAAGCCTTGCAATTGTCTGTTTGTGGCTGCTGTTCATATGCGACTTAAGGTGCCTGCTACATGTAACGTAACAATAGATCAGGGAGCGGAGAACTTACATTTTGTGCCTGTTCAAGGTTCAAGAAGACTTTGTATGGAATGTGGATGTGAATGGGCTTCTTCTGTGAGTAACGGGTGGCTCAAGACCACCATTATAATCAGTCCGTGATGCGACTCGACTTGATATGTCTTGCCTCAGCCCTTTTATGTAAGTACTGATAACTACAGTCTAAGATCAAATCTGGCGACGTGCGAATATGTCGCAGCTTACTTACTACAGAGACTGCTGATAAGACAGGGAAGTTTTGACGAGCCACGCTTGATTGTCCAAAGCAAGGGTGCATATCTATGGAGCAAAACCTGCTTATGCTGTGTAGGTACAGCTTGCATGTGGCGTCCATCGCTGCAACACCAATAAAACTCTCCACTGCCGTCACGTATCAGCGGCTTGGGACCCTAATCATTTCATTGAGTGGGAGCACCATTTTTGGAATTTCTTGGGCAGCATTAATACCCTTCACCCTTTTCGATTTCGAGTTAGACAGGAGGCTGGCCTTTTGAATGATTGAATTGAATTAAGGAACGTTCGCGGTCTCGTTCTTATATCGGCGATGGGCACCGTCATCCGCCCAATGCCGATTCTACAACCCCTCCGTGAACCTTGTTTCGGACACTTCCCAGGCACCTTTCTCCGGGGTTTTGACGTATTCAGTCAACGGAAACTGCAAGGCATACTTAGTCTCGGCAGCCGTGGACGTCTCAGGTTTCACTTACAAATCGATCTTGCCTCCATATTTCGACATTCTGTGTTTGATCGTCGGGTGTTATCTGGGTCAATGTAAAGGATGTATCACGTTGAATTCCTTCAGCCACAGTTAAGAATTGATCCAGCGTGCGACATTGGTTCCCATTGAGATGCGTAATGAATGAATGGTTCTTAACTTCGGCCCCCGGTGAACCTTGCTCGATATCGGCGACATAGATCTCGGAAGGATTTTCGAGGCGCCGCTGGCTCACGGCGAAATGTGGCTTTTGTAACAGCAACCCACAAAATCTGACGGCGTGGGACGTAGACAAGATCGATAGAGGTTGTGTGTGTATGGTGAGAGAGATCTCTTTTCGGTTTCGTACTACCATGGCGTCGACCTGCTCTTTCTCCAAGACCAGAATTTTAGAGGTATCGGTGGCTGGCTTCCCATCAATGCTTAAGACAATATCGCCATTTTCAAACGGCAGTCGTCCATTCTTTACCACCAGAAGCTGGTTTCTGGTCGGCCGGACCTGGAAAACTTCATCTATCCATGAAGGAGTAACTCCCCTGTCCCTACAGCCTTCCATCCTGAGCGCGGAAAACTCGGTATCGATAAACCTCCACTTAAGGTGGTCACCTTGCACAAAAGCGTGAACGTAGGCTTCGAGAGGTGCTACCGGAAGGCCGTAACAGTTGCGCCGTTTGTAACTTGGGCAGCTTTGCCACAAAGCCACCAATGTGCCATCATTATCAAGCAAGATGCCGGAAGAATGCTGTGAACCGAGCGGGCTCTCAATCTGCAGGACCTCAGTGTTGATTGTCCTATATCGCGGTCTCAGGTCATCTGCCGGAATTTTCACAAAGGCATAGTCGGTGACGGTTGTATTTGTGACAATGGGGCGCCGATCTTCACAAAAGGTGAGGAAGATGACACTGCTGCCTATAATTGGTATCTGAGAACCCTGTTTCACTGCGGCGACTGTCTTCGGCAATTTGTCAGGATCATATTTGACTAATGCAAAGCCATTTAGAGGATGACAAAAGATGCCCTCAGCCGGCAAGGTGTTTCTTTCACTAAATGTCAGTAGAACCTCGCATGAGTCGCTCGGCACAACAGCTTTGGACACCAGCACGACTCCCTTGTCCTCAACCACAACCCCGTATCCCTCATTCACCTTGTTGTCCAAGCTGTCCAGCTTCGCCGGAGCGAAGCTGTAGACGTGAACCGAAGACGCCAGAGCTGTCGCTGCAACCTTCGGGTATATTTTATCATTTCCACACATGCCAGATAGAGGTGGCGAAATGCTGGGGCCGCACGGCGCGAATTTGGTACAATCCCAAGTCTTCGTAGAAGTATTCCAGCACCAAAGGTCCATTGGTAGCGTACGTCGGTGGAGCGTAACCGTCACTGTGCATTTCTCGTGTCTGGACCACAGATTATAACAGTAGATGGTCGTTTTCGAGTTATGTGGAAGGCATTTGACCGCGGCGATGAATTCGTCGAGGTTTGAAATTTCGATATCTCCAACTTTTTCAATGAGCCAGTTTCTGAAGAATCCCTTGGTCGTCAGCTTAAAAGGTTCATCTGCATCCGCAACATAGACTCCACGACAAGGAATGTTATGCTCCATCGCCTTTTGGAGTGAGATGTCATGGAATGTTGCACCTGAGAAATCGAGAAAGCGGCTCGGCGTGACGGCGTAAAGGTCTTGGACAGACACCGTCACTTCGACGAACGTGCCTTTTCGTAGGAGCCCCAACGTGAGCTCCTTCCCTTCATTTGAATCTAGAATTGACTCCATTCCCAGTTGTGATGTTACAGTCTGACCGCCAGCGCACAGCAGAAGGTCCCCATGTTGTATTCTGTCGTGCGCTGGGCCGAGGGGAAGAATTTTGTCTGCAAAAAGCAGTTTCTTTGTGTCTGGAGCCTGAGACAGCAGCTCCATTTCCATTTCGGCGCTCAGCCCCAATGACCGACACTCGGCGAGGAGTTTCGATAACCATTTTGTCTGGATGGTGCCACGTGGTATACGCCTGCCGTTTCTCACGTCCTCGAGCGCCCGAACTAGAATGTCCAAAGTGATGAAGAAGTTGGTCATGGCAATATCTTCACCATCATTTTCGGTCACCATAGCAACGACGTTCCCATTAACGTCGATCAAGGGGCTACCAGAGCTGCCTCCTGTTCCACCAGCGTCGGCCTGGATGTAAGCGACATTGAAGTCATGGTAGCTGTTGGAGTGGTAGGGCGCATCTCGATCCACTTGGCTTATTGTGGCTGACAGGATGGCGCGTTCCTCTCCAGCGTTGTTACCCATGATTTTGCAGTCTAACCCAACCGTAGCCGCATCTGGTTTCAGCGGCAAGACTTTGTAGTTAGCTGTCAGGTGCAGAGGAACATGGATGTCCAAAATTGCCCAGTCGTGGATCGGATCGGTATCCTTAACCTTGTAGACAAACTGATCAAATTAGCGATTATCCGAATCGCTGAGGATCCTCACCTTTTGGTGATCATGGAAAACACAAATGCCTTCGCTCGGTCCGTGAACAACGTGTTTCGCCGTGAGGACGAAGACGGAGCCTGCTTCAATGGCAATTATGAATCCTGTTCCTTGCACAGCACCAGCAAAATACCCGTCAAAGGAGCGTCGTTGGTTGCTTTGAACAATGACAAGTGCTTTGTCGACTCGCTTCAATGTCGTGCTCCATAGAGACTCGTCTTTTTTGATCCCAGACATGGTGTGAACTTAGGGAAATACACAAGCGCAGAACAGCCTCAGAAAGAAGAACTATCATCCCGGAAGTGAATTTTGGGGAGATGTTCACCTAGATATAGGTATATTATGCCTGCTCGAATTGGAGGTAATATTTGGACTTCTAGGCCCATGCACTGATGCATTATCTCATATCAGTGACGGCTGGCGCTATCCTTGCCCTGATCGTTAACCAGCGCGTGAAAGAGGTAATGCGGCCGAATTGGGAAGCGAATCTGATTTATGCATGTGACACAAGATGGATGGCAGGATATCCACGTAGCAGAACACTTTCACTGTGTAGAAGCTGGATTTTACGGACTACCTAGGCCAGCATGTAATAAACATGTTTATATGATGGCAACACAGCCTATGATTGGAGGGAAGGCTGTCAAGGCTAACAGGATCATCTCAGACTACGCTCGCTTTGTGCTCGGCGTCCTAAGAGGCACGCAGATATCTTCCTAGAAGCAAGGTATTGGTTTGAATATCAAGATCGAAAGGGGATAATGCTCATGCAGTGTTTTAGATACATCTTTGGAGGTAGCAAGAGGTCGGCAGCTCCCCACGAAATATTCAGAACTATCTCAAACGAGACAGGCCCCCCAACCCGAAAGTAAAGGTCCCCTGCGTAGTTCGGAAGGACTCTGGAAATTTTGGTTATATGAGATATCCTAGTTCGAGGTATCTCGACAGCGTGAATCATCGCCCGTGAGACGGCGCCTTGATATATCTTCACCGTATCAACTTATTAGAGACGTCTTTAGGATTCGCTTCTTTTGTCTTTGCTCTTGACGTCTGCTGCCAAGTACGTCGCACCCGGTGTATCCTCTGTTCAATACCAGCTTCGATTACAGCTCGTCCGGTGGTAGGAGGGAATAGGTTGGATTCGGTACACAGTTTGTCAATCAGACTGACGATCTCGAGTTTCTCGTGTTCGGGCACGGCGGTCCAGATGACATTGACATTGGCCCATTTGGAATCGGGATGTGTGCCACAGTATTCGCCGTGGGCTCTTCGGACAAAGTTCTTGAAGTTGTCGAACTGTCGATTGCTCAGACCGAGCTTTTGCTGTACTTTACTAGGAGAGTCTCGAAGTTTGATGGGTTTATCCATTCCAAGTCGCGAACAAAATAGGCGAACACACCTCGCAATAGAGGACCAGAATTCTTCTCAGCGCAGTCCTGAATCAGCAATTGCAGAGGTATTATATAGTTCAGCTTTTATGGGCAAGAAAGTCTCAAGATCCGGGTTACAATGGCCTGAAATCAGCGTGCAGTGACAAGCCTGGACAACTACTGTCCGACGTTTTAAAGATTGCGTCTTCAATTGGAGTGTCGAGACTTGCGATGACCTACCAGAGCTCTAACGAACCTTTGGGATAATATCCTTTCATGCAGACCGAATAGTAGGATACCGCCTCAAGTAAGGGGACAATACAGTGTATGGGAAAGTGGTTCCTAGCATCGGAGATCTCCCCCGAGGCGAGATTAAGCTGTAAATACGTAGGTGCCAGACTTTTTGGATCTCTTGCCAAGCGTCACGTGGCTCTTTCCAGACGCCAACGCGCCCCCGCTGCCTGCGCCCCTCTGCCTGCGCCCCTCGTCGCAGATTATAACCCAACTTTTTCAACTTGAACGAACTATGAGTATCGGCCTCTAGAACCCCAAGACATCCTACGGGCTATAGCACAGAGAATCATTTCGGAAAGCCTTTTACTTTCGCCGGGTGACACCTTCACGAAACGATTAACACCAAAACCGGCAGAACATCAAGAGTCATTCGATAATTTTCGAATCAACATGAGCGGTGCACAAATTGAGACGCACGGTAATATCCCAATAGAAGACCTAGCGACATGGGCAAGGAAAGTGCCCTACGGCGAGAAAAAATGGGGGGGCCAGAGATTCGAGACTTTACCAAAGGCGAGTATGGAGGAAAACCTGCGAAAACGGATAGCAGACAGTCTGGGAAAGGTACATGAGTCCATTCCATAGTTCAGGCTTGTCTAACATTCATTCAAACAGGTTAAACAGTGGGAGATCTTGAGGGTAACTGAAGAACATACGTCGCTTACCGTTACAAAGGACGAGTCAACTTTGTTTGCGCTCGAGGTAAAAAAAGGGTGTGAAGTCTCCGGTCATTCAGTTCAGAAAGGTCAGAGAATTGAAATCAGAAAAAACGAGAAGGTTATTGTACAACCCTTCGGAGAATTTCTGTGCATCATTCACTAAACACCTACCGACCCGCGCCCTTCCTCGTTATCGGTCGGGCTTCGATTACGCAGAATATGATATGTTGTTTGACAGAAGTTCTAGAGCTTTGTACGACTCAAGATTGAAAGAGTGTTATGCATATGAAACGCCTATAGGTGAAATTTGGTCTGAACGGTGATCTGGCAGCCTCGTGACAAAGACGTCATTAGTGGGCATGTCAGATGTGTTCAAATCGAGGACGTCAGTGGCTGGTAGGTAAACATGCTGAGACCAGAAGCGCTGTTTGTAGACGTATTGAATGCACTCTGCTCGAAGGCTCGACCGTCCAAGTTGGCTAACATCCTTTCATCAAAAGTATCACCAGCGGGTGTCACAAGCTGACTGAGATCGAAGGGGTCGAAGGGGTCGACCGTCGGTGCCGCAAGCTGACTGAGATCGAAGGGGTCGAAGGGGTCGACCGTCGGTGCCGCAAGCTGACTGAGATCGAAGGGGTCGAAGGGGTCGACCGTCGGTGCCGCAAGCTGACTGAGATCGAAGGGGTCGAAGGGGTCGACCGTCGGTGCCGCAAATTGGCTGAGATCGAATGTGTTGATATCTCGCAATAAGGTGTGGTCATCATGGGGAGTGTTTAGTACGAGGCAATCCCTAACTTTGACCCTGGCTTCTCCCGCAAGACTCTTGGTGTGATCACCATCGTGGGTCTCAAAATTCGAAAATATGGTTGTGCGGTTGGCTAACGTTGCTTCTGTGCGGGCGTTACTGTCGACTATATGGTTAAAATTGAAGGAAGCAGTTCCGTCAAATGGCGCATGAGTTTCCAGCTCGGCCCGCGTCGCATCTTCGGAAAGAAGATTCACCGTTGGTTTCATCACAAATCCATGTCCTGTCTCTAAATTCATACGAGAAGCGAGTATGGAAACCGGCGGATTCAGTGTGATTTGACGTTGTGGGGACCAGTCGCAGGGATGCTGGGCAGTACCCCCGGCTTCGCTTCTCACCTCCTCTGTTACTGGCCTCTTTCTCTTCTTGTTTGAAGAACTTTGCACCGTTGTGGCTGGAGGAAGGGCCACATCCTCTACCACGTCAAGTGACAGCGCTGGAGCCCCATTTCCAGTGTTCAAGTCAGTGTGGAGGGCTGGTAGGGAGAATAGAACCTGTTGAACTTCAGGATGTGGAGACCAGTTGTAGGTGTGTTGGCGAGTAGCTGTCACTGTCGTGGTACCAGTCTCCTTACTGCCATAGCTCCTGGGATTCGAAAAAGGGATTGTGGTGAGAGCCGATGTCATTGCATCGTGACTATTCTCGATGCTTCCATTTGTCTGCGCCGTATATGTCTCGGAGGAAGAAGGCATGTGATATTCCATGACGCTTTCATGGCCTTCATGCGATACCGTTGCTTCATTTTCGAAAGATTGAGAGAGCGGGGTCGTATCCTGATATGCCATCCGAAGGTCGCCTGCCTTGGCTTCTCTAACCTCCTCCTCATTCTCCGGCCTGATATCAACCTCAGTTTCGCCAGTACCAGCGCTTGGAGCCAATGCGTCGGAGCGAGAAGGATTAGCCGACAGATTCGATTCTGTGGCCGATTCTATGGCTAATACCATAGAGCCGGCTTGTGAGCTCCTCCTTGGTGATTGCTGGTGTGCGTCACTTTCGTCTGTGGATGGCATCCGCCTCGCGATCCTGGGCTCCAAACTTGCAGAGAGGGTTCTAGGTTGATCGTCGGAATTTGCAGCGGATTCGAAGGCACTGGCCGGTATTCGTCGCGATTTTCCCCTTTGTGATCGTGCCTTTGACGAGATCCGTGTGTTTTGGCCGGCGAGTCCAGCGATATTTTCATTCTGGGCACTTTCGTGACTAGTAGGCGTGTGAAAAGCTAACGCCGCGTCATTCAATGTGGCTTCAGTGTGGCCGCTCTCAGTCTCTTCACCAGCCTCTGCCGAAGTGTCTGGGGCTTCCCGATGCCCCAACGTTGTTTGTCCTCTAACTGACGTATGTGATTCTCCGCTCCTCCTCTTCCCCTCCCTCTTCTGGTTTGAAGAATCCTTTAACCACTTGTGCGGCTGCATCTGAAAGTTTCTGATGCTTTCTGCCACTGTATCGGCATCATAATTTTTGACTTCATCACCAACTAGGGTTTTGAGGGGTGTAATGCCTTCGATCATGCCTTTTTTCGTCTTGGGTAGATTTCCCTGCCATCTGTATCATATAAGCACGAGCTGTTGGAGATTGGGGAACTACTTACGAATCTTGCGTAATATGATCCGCCAGCAGTATCAGTGCGCCGTCTCCTAACACTTGGCCGACCTGATGGAATATGTGCCCTTCTTTTGCCCATTTTCCAATGTCTTGAACCAGCTTCTGGTCAGGGTTGGAAATTGCGAAGTCCTGACAAACTTGAGTACATTTTTTATTGAGCGTAACCCCCCGAGGGAAAAAGCCATCGTCGTGCCGTTCCTTAAAGTATCGGGACAAGAGATCACGAAAGAATAATGTAGAAAAGACCCAGCGGATGTTGTCACTCAGCTTTCGACAGGCAAGCGCTCTAATTTCATGGACCATTTTTGAAAATAGTCTCTCCTTGATAACGCTGTCACCATGAGAAGAGGTGAGATCCAGTCCATCCCGGGCGTTGTCGGGCTGGAGGCCCCAGTCACCGAAGAATTGTTTTGGATCATTCTTCCACTTGGCTAGTAGAGGTACCAGCTCAGGTTTGAATTTAGGCTCCCCGAGCTTCTTTATTAGCTTTTCCAAACGGGTAGCTCTGGTACGGGATCTTTCTGTCGAGTCTTTTGTCGTCGAGTCTTGTGTCGTCGAGTCTTGTGTCGTCGAGTCTTCTGTCGTCGAGTCTTCTGTCGTCGAGTCTTGTGTCGTCGAGTCTTCTGTCGTCGAGTCTTCTGTCG